AACACTGGTTAGGTAATAATTGCAAGACTAGGATCTTTAATATTTATGGAATAACTGAGGTGTCATGCTGGGCCACAATTGAAGAAGTGAATGTTGATGAGTGTTTGCATTATTTAAAAAACAAGGATTCGGCAACAAACAACCAAATTAGAAATAAAGAAAATGTTGATAATGTGTTTAGCGATATGGTTCCCATTGGTAAGCCACTTAGTTCCACAATCATAAAAGTATTGAAATCAGACTATGAAGAGGCAGCTGAAGGAGAACAGGGTGAAATATTTGTTGGTGGAACAGAAAGGGTTTGCTGGGTAGATGACGGTAGTTCATGTGCCTTAGGTGTCAAAGGTAATGACTCTGAGCAGTTTTTGAGGCAGACAGGTGACAAAGGAGTGCTAAAGGATGGCAGCATATATTGTGTAGGAAGGATTGATTTTATTGTTAAGAGAAATGGACAGAAAGTCAGTCTTCATGAAATCACAAGGGCTTGTGAAACATTTAGTTACATAGAAAAATGCATGACAATACACGAAGGAAAAAAAATTATTGCTTTCGTGTGCACACCAAATGAAAATGTAATTTCAGAAGAGACTGTAAAGAAAGACTTGAAAAGTGTTTTATCTTACTGGAAAATGCCAGATGAAATAATAATTGTCAAAGAAATTCCCTTTAATGACCATGGGAAAGTAAGCAAAGAAAAATTACTTGAGGAAAGACAAGCAAGAAAAACATGTAACATAACCAACTTAGATTCTCTAGAATATCTTTTAAAAAAATATTGGACAACAGTGCTTGGTATTAATACAGTGCAATATAAAGATAACTTTGTAAAGTGTGGTGGAAATTCCTTGTCTGCCGTTCAGCTAGCTGAAGAACTTGAAAAGCATCTTACTTATGAAGTGCCAGAGCTTCTTGATGTAATTCTGAACAGTAATTTTGAGAACACTCTTGAACTTTTAACACATTACTACCATACAGAAAACAAAAAGACCTTTTATCCTAGGAAGAGACTAAGAAAAGCTGATCTTAAAAATGAGTCTCAATCTGGACAGCCGTCAGGTATATCAGATAGGGATATTGTTTTAAACACTAAAACTAAGATTCAAGAAGACAGAGCTACAAAGACATATGTTGTCTCAAGGAGAGGTTTTTATAAATATGGAAATTTTGAAGTTGATCTTTTATCACCACAACAAGCAGAACTCTCATGGAAATATGATCTGGGAAAGTGTATAGATTCATCACCAATAATTGTTGAATATAATAACGATAAAGTTTATTTGTTTGTTGGGTCACACTCCCATAGATTTACTTGTGTTGATGCTTTAACTGGTTGTGAATATTGGACAATTACCCTTGCTGATCGTATTGAATCATCACCCAACGTGTCACAAGACGGTAGATTTGTTTATGTTGGATGTTATAGCGGAGATCTTTATTGTATTAGTATCGATGATGGGCATATATCTTGGAAGTATAAAACCGGGGATGTAATTAAAAGTTCCCCAGAAGTAGATTATAGTACAGGTTATGTGATTTTTGGTTCTCATGATAAAAACCTTTATTGCTTGAACAAAGACGGAAAATTAGTTTGGAAAAATGAAATTTCCACGGGGAGCATATTTTCTTCTCCGTGTGTTTGTGATAACATAGTATGTGTAGCAACTCTGGATGGTGCTATTGCTGGAGTTGATATAAACTCTGGAGTTGAAGTATGGAAGGATCATGTTGGTAAGCCAGTGTTTAGTTCACCAGCAAAATACTCTGAAGGTATTGTACTTGGAAATGTTATTGGTAATATATTTGGGTACTCATTTACAGGATGTAGGCTATGGAAATATGAGGTCGGAAGTAACATTTTCTCTTCACCTTTTGTATTAAAGTTACAGAGTGGAGAGGAAGTAATAGCCATTGGTTGTCATAATAATAATGTATATTTTCTTAATAGTAGAGGAGAGAAGATGTCCGTATATTGTGGTAAGTCACCAGTATATGCAACTCCATTTCTGTATATTGCTAATAATAATCATATAATATCTGTTATATGTGAAACTTCTGGCCTTGTAAATATAGTCAGTATGAATGCTGGAAATTCAGAGTGTAAACCGGAGCTGTGTCCTACTGACAAAACTTCTTTCACACCATCAACGGGAACTGAAATAAAATTACCAGGAGATTTGTTTTCATCACCTGTAGTACATAGGAATAAAGTATATATTTGTAGTAGAGATAATTTTATTTATTGTTTTGATTTGAAGCCTGATTAACTGAATGTATTTACCTCTATTTTTGTATTCAAAAAATAAAATTATGAATTGTTGCAATTTGTGTTTGAATAAGAGGTAATTATACAATACAAATCCTAGAAAGCTATTTATTCATAATTTACAATCATATATCTGTACATCAACATCCATGGCATCAATGAAAAAATGCTGTTTTAGTTATAGCCACTATCGTAGTTGTAGTTACTGCCTGGGGTTTTTGGTGTCTTTACAGCTACAGCAACTGCAGCTTCACTTCTGTAACGGATGGGAGAGTAGACCAGTACTTAAAGAAATAGAGGTTATTTCTTGCAAATGAATGCAATTTTGAGTCAAAGCAATAGTTTTTCAAACAAATTTGATGTTAACTTTTATAAGATTATTTTTCTAATCTTCTAAATAAAGTTTTAATATGAAAAAGAAGAAAAAAGTGAATGGAGAAAAAAAAAAGACACTTTCTTATTTCCACTATTCAAAATTCACTGAAAACAGATACTTACTCTGCACCAGCAGAAATAAGGCGTGTTGGAGCAGTGGAGGAATTCACTGCCACAGTCTGGGCTGGGACAACATCACGCCGACCATCTCGTGTGTAGTAATAATTGGCAGACAACTTATGACTGACACCAGGGGGCAGATTGGGAGGAGGCTGACTACGGCAAACCATTCCATCTGGGTGACGCAGGGCACTTGTATGCTCACGCTGCAAAAGTTTTCGGAAATGTTTTAAATGCATTTTTCATGATATAACAAATAATACTCAATTACGAGCTACAGAGAGACTGGAAGGTGGATGAGAGAGCAGCATCGGGAAAGCAGCAGAGATTAGAGTATCTGGATTTAGACTGGAGAAAGAATGACGGGGGGAAAGAGGGAGTGGCGGTAGAACTGTTTATTATTAATGTTTGAAACAAATAAATGTGCTAGACATCAAAGGTCATGTAGCACTATGGTAAAGTACTGTTTCAGGAAGGGAAAAGAGTTCAAGAGCAGGATAAAATGTGTTAGATGTTAAAGATCTGAGAATGTTATAGGATAGTATGGTAGTGAAAAGGGAAAGGGGAGTAAGTGAACTAGAGCAGAGATTAGTAGAAAAGGGAGTGTTATGGGGGTAGGAGTTGTTTAGCAGGGGGGGGGGGTTAATAAAAATAAATAGTAGTAATAAGGGAAGAGGGGGTTGACACTGAAGAGGACTGTGCAGCAGGAGATGAAGATGAAGATGTTGGGAGAGAGGAAGGGGTGCTTTCTGGAGGTCGAGTAATAACCTGGGTGGGTGTTTTGGAATGGATAGTTGTCAGTGGGCATCGAGGAGGGGGTATTAGTATTAGTGGTCTGAGCTGTGGTCAAAGGGGGGGGCAGGGGTTGGGAAACCATCAAAGTTGAAGAAGGGGCAAGCCATAATGCCCCTTGGAAGGGTAAAGATCTTCATTATTGGCCATGGCGAGCCTGAATAAAATGGGGAAAAGAAATGATCTACCCCTTAGGGTCCCCATAAGGGTTATGACCTAGGCAATTAACCCACTTGCGACGGTCAATTTGGAGGGCAATAATCCCTATTTCCGGGCGGTATAAAAATCAGGCAGGTGGCGTGTGGGCAGGTTCCCAGAATAGCCTGCGCACCACCTGCCTTGGGCGACAAAATCAGAGTGCAAGCTCCGATCTAGTGTCACACTAGTGGGACAGCCAGCCATGTTCAGTATTTTGGACGTCACAAATGTGTGACACTCAGCGCAAGTGGGTTAACCAAGGGAATACTGTACCCATGGCTCCTGGAGGCTGTTCATGACTGACACAAAGCCAGCCTTTCATCCTTTGAGCGCGGCTCTCACACCTTAGGAAGTGGATAGAAAAATGGGATGAAGATGTAGAAGAGGAAAGGAAAGAAGACCAAGCAAAATTAGTTGAGAGAAGACCAAGCAAAATTAGTTGAAGCAAGGGCTACCAGAATAGAGTTTGGTCAAAATATTTGGTCAAATTCTGTCCGCGCAAATGTAGTTGTCAGGGAACTTTCCGTGCATGCTTAGTTCTTTTTAAAATCATCTTCCGCGCATAAAATTCTTTTGACCTTTCCACACACTTGTTTCATTAACCTTCTGCAGATCTGTCTGCTCAAATGTAGACAAAATGATGTTTTCCGCGCATGAAAAAATGCAATATTCCCCTCTACAGTCTGGAAGGGGTGAGGCCAAAGGGAAAGGTGATCCCCTACATTGGGCCTCTGTCTCCAAAGCCCTCCCACAACGAGGTATTGGGAGGGCTCAGCACTCTAAAGAATTACTGGTACAGGTCCAGATCCATACAGCCTTCGTTTAGACGAATTTTGTAGACTTCAAAATGAACCATAGTTTTAAATCATAAAAAATAGAGTACCCAATAGATTGCGATTCAGAGGGATAGACCTATATATTCCATTTTTCTCAAACTACACCTCTATTTCGTTAATTCTTCGTTACCTGTGACCTTTCTGAAGCGAGATTTACTCTACTTATCAACAGTGCAACAAAACCAAAACAAAACTTGGACGAGTACAGGACAGCTAGACCTTTCCTTATAAAGGTGACCCCAAATCGCAGTTCTTGTCTGAACTTGCAGCTTTTAATTGATCAATCACTCAACTCACCCCTAACAAAAACTTGCGAACTGAGCGAAGGAAAGGGGAAACATCCCTCGGATTGACTTTCGGTGGCATTATGTTCCTCTCTCTCTCTCTCCGTCGGCTGAACAATCCTCCACAGCTGA